CCCAAAACAAGTCCTGGTTTTTCCCTTCTGATCTGCCAAGACCAGAGAAAGTGCTCGGGTCCCCATCACATCAGCTGGGAAACCTGCCCTCTGAGACTCTTGGGACTTTTACTTGGTCCATCACCTGCTAAAGCCAACATACTGGAATTTCTTCTGATAAGGGAAATGGCTCAGCATCTAACCTTCACATCTCATTCTCTCTGTTTTTGACCCCTTCGACAATCCCTCCTTGTAATCTGTAGTTCATCAAAATGGGCATCTGAAGGTACCCACCAGTTCGCAGTTCCAGTGGCTTACGCTCCATGTCGGCAGGCCTAGCTGTCACCGGCAGATTTGCCTGCCTCTCGAGATGTCAGGGTGACATCAGTTCCCTGATGGGTCTAAGAAAAGTTGCTGGTTTTCAGTTTGCCCAGATTTTCCTTATGCTAAGGGTGGGAGTCATGACTCCCAAGTCCTTCACACATCAGAACTGGAAAAAAGAAGTCCTGACTTTTATTTCTTAAGATAGTAATCATGTAGCAAATGTTTCAAATACCCACTTCCCTTGTATTTTTTAATTTAATTTAATTTTTATTATTATTATTATGTTTAATTAGCCAGCATATAGTACATCATTAGTTTTTGATGTAGTGTTCAACGATTCATTAGTTGCCTTTAATACCCAGTGCTCATCACATGTGCCCTTCTTAATGCCCATCACCTGGTTACCCATCCCACCCGGTTACCTTCTCCCCTCTGTAAGCCTCAGTTTGGTTCCCAGAGTCCAGAGCCTCTCATGGTTTGTCTCCCTCTCTGATTTTGTCCCGTTCAGTTTTCCCTCCCTTGTCCTGTGGTCCTCCACGCTATTTCTTATGTTCCACATATGAGTGAAACCATATGATAATTGTCTTTCTTTGCTTCCCTTTTAAATACAGGAAATTTTTACAAGAACTAGCAGCAGCCATCATTAGATGTAGAAATGCCATTAATATTATTAACAATACATCCACTTTCTAATTTTTTCGTCACCTTCACATTTCAGCAGCAGGTGACAGAAACTAAAGGACACGAGGTGTAGGGTGCATTAGAAGATGGTTTTGTTCTGGAGAAAATACAGTGGGAGGAGTGTGTGCGGGTGAAAACAGGCTGCAGTTTTATGCAGGCTGCCCCAGACATTCTCACTGAGAAGGTGACATTTGAGAAAGGACTTGAAGGAGGCAGGGAGTCTTCCATACAGATGTCGGGGCAAGAGCTCTCCAGACAGAGGGAGCGGCAAGCGCAAATGGCTGGAGACAGGAGCCTGCTGGGTGGTCAGGAGTGGCAGGCAGTCATGGTCTCAGTGCAATGAGGAGGGAGAGAGAGGGCTCAGAGACAGTGCTGGGGCCAGCGACAGAGGACATCAAAGACCACTACCTTCTTTGTGGGACAGAAACCCCAAGAAAGGGTGGCATGATGTACCACATGCACATTTTTTTTTAAGATTGATTGATTTGAGAGAAAAAGAGAGAGAGGGAGAGAGAGAACAGGAGCAGGAGAGGCAGGGGAGGAGGGAGAGAGAATTTCAGGCAGACTCCGTGCTAAGCATAGAGCCTGACCCGGGACTCCATCTCACTGCCCTGAGGTCATGACCTGAGCCAAAACCAAGAGTTGGGAGACTCAACAGACTGTCCCATCCAGGTGCCCCACCATATGCACATTTTAATAGGAGCCTTTTCTCCATCATCTCGAGGAAAGATCTCCCCTCGGGTCCCGAAGGCAGAGGATGCCGAGCACTGTGAGGATTTGACTGGTCCAGGGAGACAACTACGGCTCCGGAGGGTGACCCACTGCCATGCGCGTGCAGGCTCTGTGTGAGGAATTTGCAGGAACCAAGAGTGCGGCACCACCATTCACAGCAATCACCATGTAATCCTTCTTTGCCAGGGTCTTTCTTCCTCCTGACGCCTCTACCCTCCTCACACGACTGAATTCTCTGTGTGTCTTATGTTTCTAGTTTTGTGATTTTGAATTGCGCCTTCACGGGAAGTTTGTGTCTGTCCATTTCCCACACTGCTGTTCCTGTGGTGAGCACAGTTACAGATGCCCCTCCCGTGGTCCCTTCAATATTGATCCCCTCACACGTCTTCCCTTCTAACTGATGCCATATCTGTCCTTGTTTATTATGTTTTATTCCACCTACCAGGTGTTCCGGGTAATTATCTAGTCTTCTGTGAGAGATGTTTATATTGGAACTCTCATTGACATCAATCCTTGTAGTTACGTCTTAGGAGAATGTTAGAATACAAATCCTGAAGACAGGGTAATTTTAAATTCTGGTTCTTATTTTACCTGGCATTAAAGTTAGATCAGTTTTTCTCAAGTTTGAGGGGTATGAAGGACAATGTTTTAGAAAATCCTCTAAAACTTCCAAGGTTGAAGAAAATTAATTTTGTAAAATAATCTCTCTTAAAAATGTCTAGATATAAACATTTTATGCTTATACAACTGGAAGGCCCAAATGAAAATTAGTAAATTAAATATAAATAAAAGGACAAAACCAAAGTATTCTAGTTAACTCTGTGAATTTCATATCCCAGATGCTGGCATTTTACTGAAATTAAATTGTTCCCTGGGATGCAACCAAGGCCCTGGCTGGTTGGCTACGTTCCCCTGATCTGCGTGTGCCCACGCCGATGCTCCCACGGGGCCACGCCCATGTGAACCTCCTACACTTGGCGTCAGACCGTGGGCCCCCCGCTTGTTGGGAATGCATCCCTGGAATTCTGCCTCTGCTCTTTCCTTATGAGTTTCACTGAACCTCTTGTTCCCAAGATGATCTAAACTCTAGAACTGAGAGGAGGCTGAACTTCCGCCATAATTTTTAGTTGAATCGTGGCCAACTAATGATCCAGCACGACTTTTCCTAATGGTTTAGATAATTATCAGAATAGCAGTTCTGATATGAACATCTCAAAAAGAACTTTCAGACCACATGTCCGTGGCATCCAGTTGGACAAACACAGTCCTAATGTCAAGGGTCTAGCTTCCCTTCTTCATAGCACTGGATGTGCCACAAGCAATTAACATACTGTGTTTTCACCAAAATACTCATCTCAGGGTTTTCATTTATTTTCTCGGTCTGCTTTCAGGTGGTGACGTTGCCTCTTTAGGTTTCGTTTATATTTTTTAAACTCTTTATTGTACTACTTTGGTGAGCATGTGTAAACCACTCTCGCAAAGTATGAAATGTTATAATATCAAAGACTGTGTCCAATATAACATCAAACACCAAAACCGTGTTTCACCATTTTACATAACCATAGAATTTCTGAATTGGAATGGACTTGGTCAAATTCACCTCTACAATATCCTGCAGAAATAGTCATTTAGCCTGTGTCTGAAAACCTACAGTCACTAGCTCATCAGGCAATGTATTCCATTCTTAAGTTAGAAATTTCTTTATGTTGAACCGAGTTATACTGCTGTCATTTTTGCCTCTTAGTTTTAACCCTACCTTCTAGAATAAACCACAAATATAATATCTTTTGCAAAGGATAATTCCTTCATCCCAGCAAAGATGGCAACGCCCTCCTTCCTAAGCCTGCTCTCCCCAGACAGATGTTCTAAGTACTTCCCGTCATTCTTACAACCCAGTGCTGAGTAACATGAACAATAGCACAGTTACTGCCTTGGGGCATTTTGCATATAACCCTATTCCTTAGTAGAAGCTTCAACAGATTGTGCAGTCCATAGATTGTATCTAAGAAATGAGCTTTTTTTTTTTAATAAAGATTTTATTTATTTATTTGACAGGCAGAGATCATAAGTAGGCAGAGAGGCAGGCAGAGAGAGAGGAAAGGAAGCAGGCTCCCTGCTGGGCAGAGAGCCCGATGTGAGGCTCGATCCCAGGACCCAGGTCAGGAATCATGACCTGAGGCCAAAGGCAGAGGCTTTAACCCAACTGAGCCACCCAGGCGCCCCAAGAAATGAGCTTTTTATATCAATTTTTTTTACTAGAGTTAATATTATAAATGACTACGAACTAATATGTACAATTATTCAATTAAAAGGACAGGGATGGACCATAATTAAATAACTAAGCATGTGTTGGTGTGTGTATATATAACTTATTGGCTTATTTCTTCTTATAACTGGAGAAAGAAAATGGGAAAGCCCGAAGAGACTCCTACTGACTGGGTCACTGGAAGGTCACGGCCCTCCTGACTATCCTGCCTGTCTTCCCAAGTCCTTTGCATAAGAGCCCCTTTCCAGACAGAAAGACAGGACCCTTTTGGTCTTGACAGAGTCTCCTGGAAGAACTAGGCAAGGCTCTAAACTACAACCAAATCCCATGAAGATGTGGTACCCAGGGGCACTTGCGTGGCTCAGTCGTTAAGCGACTGCCTTCAGCTCAGGTCGTGATCCCAGGGTCCTGGGATCGAGCCCCACATCGGGCTATCTGCTCAGAGGGAAGCCTGCTTCTCCCTCTCCCACTCCCCCTGCTTGTGTTCCCTCTCTTGCTGTCTCTCTGTCAAATAAATAAATAAAATCATTAAAAAAAAAAAAAAGGAGATGTGGTATCCAGCTGCCCCATCTTCCCTCTTACCTCTCTGTGCAGCCCGCTCCCCCTACCCACCGCAGAGCAAGGAAACAAGATGTGATAAAATAAGCACAATGAACCTATACTCACTGACTCTACCCTCCAGCCCCCACAGAATCCTGGCTCTCTATAAGGAACAAGTGATGTGCTGGGGAGAAATGACAGGGTAGCCTAAAGCCCCACAAAGGCCAGGTCACCATCAGGAGGGAGAAGAGGCTTGGCCACACTCACCTACAGCTCCAGCGTCACGGTGGGGGGACCAGATAGCAGCCACCGCTCCCTCCAAGGCGTGGCTTTTGCATGGTTGGTTAGAATGTGTTGTGCGGAGGGGCCCCTGCATCCTCCCCAGCAACACTGGTGGCTTAGTCATAACTGCATGTGAGGACGCGTTGCCGCACAGAATAGGAATAACGTGTCTGTGATTCATTCTTCTCTCCAACAGCTGGCTGCCCCAACTCCTTGATTAAAGAGCTCCATCACTTCAGGATTCTTGGAGAAGAGCAGGTGAGTCAGCCTCTCAAAGGCAGCGCTGGTGTGTCGTGAAAGATAGACACTAATGAGACAGTTTGGGCTCTCTCCAGGGAGGGAGAGTGTGTCTCCTGACCCTTGGCGCCCTAAAGTGGGGAAGAAAGCCACGCCTCGGGTATGTGTGAGGACAGTCTCCCCCTCTTCTACCCGTCAGACCTGACAGGTTATTAATTGGTACAGCTGCTGGCCGCCAGGGCGCTGCCGCTTAGGAAGCTGGCGGTAAGCATGCACGGGTAGTGGCAGAGAAGCAAACAGGTGAGTGTCCACTTCCGTGAGGCCTGAGAGACCCGTCGTCACAGACAGCCCTGATGTGAGGGCTGTGGGTGAGGGTGCCAGGGGGCCCTTCTCACCAGAGCTTTGCACTTGGCGTACATCCTCCGGATGTCGCCGCAACAGCTTTCTCTACGGATGCGACCGTGTAACTTACATATGTACACGGGGTGGCCCGTTAAAAGCAGACTGCTGAAGTACTGTGGGGCCCAGGGAGATGTCCGATTTTAAATAGGTGTGCTAAGTAAATAATTCAGGGGGCCAAATTACACACACAGACACATACAACACACACTTCGGCTGTGTACAAATAAAGTTCTTTTTTTTTAAAATATTTATTTATTTGACAGACAGAGATCACAAGTAGACAGAGAGGCAGGCAGAGACAGAGGAGGAAGCAGGCTCCCCGCTGAGCAGAGAGCCCGATGTGGGGCTCGATCCCAGGACCCTGGGATCATGACCTGAGCCGAAGGCAGAGGCTTTAACCCACTGAGCCACCCAGGTGCCCCTACAAATAAATTTCTTAACCTTTGTATAGAAGTACAGCTTCTGCAGTATTTTGTTAAGTCTTGATGTCAAGTTATTCTTGAAATATTCACACCAAATAGTTGACGACTTGGGGCATGACCTACCTCGCCCTCTCTTACTGCTTTTTACCCCCAAAGGTCATCTTTGCCACATTTGACCAGGGGACGTGCAAAGGAAGATGAATTTTGTTGATGAGTTTGTGGTCCGTGTGTTTCCTTTGGTATATATATGTTACAAAGTTGGATGCCTGTGTCCAATATTAGATTAAAACCAGAAAGGAGTTAATTGGGAGGATAAAAAACTAGAATTATTTCCAGTTCCTTGATTTAACAGGTTTTAGGATGTCTCCTTAGTATTTTCATTATGCAAATTGCAGAATTCAGCGGGCATTAAGTGTTTATTCAAATATAGGCAAAACCAGTTACCCTCCATTGCAGGTAAGAGTTAATAACAGACTCCCTCAAACATACCTATTTAGGAAAACATATGCATCTCCCAGCCATTTTCCTGTGAAAGCCTGAGAGATTTCTTGTAGTAAGAATTACTGATTGTTGCCCTGACATTTCTGCTCAGATAAGGGAGCCTTCTCTTCTAACTTGTACTAATATTTGCAAATTATTTCCCTATTTGTGTTAGAGTCATTGGTGATTAGTAGGGAAAGAAGCCAACTGTAATCATCTCAGATTTGCATACAAGTCAGGCCACTTTGCATTCTCCTAGAAATTTAATCGAGCCATAATCAAAATCAATAGTACTCTGATTAGTTATGCAACATGGAGACACGGTATACCACAGCAATATTGATCTTTATTTCCTGAAAAAAAAAACACATTTCCTTCCTTTCTTCTTTCCTTTCATTCAGCAGATACTTACTGAGCACCTACTCAGGTGCTATAAACCATTCTTGGTTATAGGGGTATAGGAGTGAAAATAGATACCTATCAGTGGAAAACTGCTATGCTATATACACACAGACATGTTTGATATACATTATACTGGGTGGTTCTTATGGCCATGAAGAAAAATAAAACCGAAAAGCGGGTAGTGGTAGCAGGGGGAAGAGGTGAGATTTTATATGAGGTGGTCAGGAAGAACCTCACTGAACAGGTGATTTGTGGGTGAGGACTGAAGGGCATGCAGGAAAGCATCTGGTGATGTCTGGGAAAGGAGCTTTCCAGAGAGAGAATAAAGCAAGGACAGAATTTCTGGAGTGAGGCTCTATAATGCTCATTTCACATAAAAAGCATTATACAATACGAGGTGTGGTTGGAGTAAAGTGGGAAGAAATCCAGGAAAGTGTGCCCTGAAAGACAAAGGCAGGAAGTATTTCTGGGAGGAAGACTGATCATCCGTGCTCCGTGAAACCAAGCAGGAGCTGGGTGAGAAATGAACACTGGAATTTGAAACTTGGAGGTCATTGGTGACCTTGACCAGGAAATGGTGGGAGTGGAAGCCTGCTTGAGTTGGGTTCATGTGAGAGGAGGAAGAGGAATGGGAGAGAGCAAATATTGGGAACTTCTTTTTTGAGGAATTCGGCTGTAAAGGAAAGCCAAGAAATGAGGCAGCTGGGATGGGGAAATGTGGAATTGAGATCATTTTCTTTTTTTATAGGAAAAGCTGAGGCATGTTTATGGGTCGACTGGATGCCTCTGTAGAGGAGTAGCAGGGCTAGTGATGCAGGGGAGAGGAGAGGCCATCAGGAACAATGTCCTGGCTCACAACCACTGAGTGGAGGCTCTGCTGAGACACAAGGACGGACAGCTCAGCTTGGTGGCAGTGGGGACCGCTGAATAGGCAGGGTGATCGCTGCTGGTGCTCCTCTTAGTGAAACGTGAAGCAAAGTTGGCAGCTGAGAGTGGAGATGGGAGCTTTCCCGGGAGAGGGAAGGGTAGTGAAATTGTCATTTAGGAGGGTAGGGAGTAAATAAACAGGAACTAAATGAGTTTGGAGTGAGATCCATCAGCCTGGTGTCTTTCTGTCACATTCAACTGTGTAGACACAGGGGCAGAAAACACAGAGTTGGGTTTAACTCAGAGTTTGGTTCTCCGCTAGGAGAGCAGAGAGGTGGGATGAGAAGAGGGAGGGTTGGGAAAGGTAGTTGGTCTGTTGGTTCCAGGTCCCAGTGGGTCCAAAGAGTTTTTGGAGTTCAACGACTAGGAAGCTTTAGCTGGGAAAGTAGGTATTGGCCAAAGAATGAGATCCTTGATGTCTGGTCTGTGAGGGATGCAGGGACTGGCAATGGCGGGACCAGAGGAGGCCGGGAGTGCTCATGGCCGGCTCAGGATGGAGGAAAAGTTGACTGCAGAAGTTGAGGTCACAGACTCGGGGAGCCGGGGTGCTGGAAGTGTGGCCCGTGCGGACACTGAGACCCTCCAGAATTGTCACCAGAGCCGACTTGGAGAGAGTTCTGGTGAGTCACCAACTGAAACTTCGAGAAATGGGGGCGAGAGAGACTGAGGGGTGGGGCTCAGGAGCTGCCCGCAGACGGAGGAAGAGCGCCCGGTGGAGACTGATGGTTTCAAGTTCACAGCTGGAGGGCTGGTGCCAGGAGAGAAGAGAACTCTTCGACTGGAGCGTTGCTGAACAATGCTTGGTGGTACAAAGTGTGCAGAAAATGTGTGGGAGCGGCCAGGGTGGGGGTGTCCTAGGGCAGGAGCCAGTTTCAGTGAGGGAGAACAGGAGAGAACCTTGGGAGTGGATTGGAGTCAAAGGGCAGTTCCTAATGCCAGCCCTGGCTTCCCCAGCACAGGGGCAAGAGTCGGGCAGCTCGAGGACAAAGTAGGGCAAAGGGATGCACAGAGCCGTGTAGGGGGGTGGACATCAGACGGGAGAAGGACAGGGGAGCCAGGGACTGCTTCAGGGACTGATACAAATCAGATGTGCCAGTCTGGGACATTTCTGTCCTGATGATACATGACAGTGGCCTCAGGGCAGATGGTAGCTGAGTTTCAGGAGAGAAAGCCGAGCAGTCCAGCCCCACCAGCTCCTGAGGGTTGGAGTAGGGTGGCCTCTCCCTCTCTGGGAGCAGATGAAATGTCAGGCTCTCTCTGGATGCTGGAGGCAACTTTTATCACTCGATGAGAAGAAACTTTATATGAGTGTGTGTTATAAGTGCCCTTGGACACATCATTTCATTCCCTCACTAATGTGACTTTCCCATTCGTAGAAAAGGAAGAGAAATGGTCAGTCACCTCTTAGAGTTTTTGGAAATAAATAGGATTGCAAAGTGAGTTGCAAACAGTAAGTGCTATACTAAAATGTTTCTGACTTAAATACTATTGACATTATTTCTATTCAATTAGTAGACTGAACTAGTACAACAAAGTAGGCAATAGAATAAATGTGATGTGCACCTTAAAGTGAACTGATAAGATGAACACAGATACTGGTTAATTACTGAATCCATTGCTGGATGGTGGAGATGCTTATCAGTCATCTAATTTCTTCATATGTAGATTCCTTTCCATTTTCATCAGTCCCTAATAGGCATTTGATTTGGGGGATCTAGATTAAAAATAAATCATTACACACTATAAATAACTTGCCTTCCTAAAATAAAAATACAGTGAAAACCCCTTGGAGTTTAGCATGACCCATTTACTTTAGCTTCTTGGCCCTGTGACTTGTCTTTATAATTCATGTTCATGAAGCACCTTTCATGCCCCCAAGTCCAACCTACTTGGCAAAGATGTTATCACATAGTAGGTCATAAGTGACTCCAGAGTTCAAGGTGAGCCTTGAAAGAAAAAAAAAGGCCCACCAGGAGTGATATCTGTCATCAGTCCATAGGGCTAGGAGAGCCTTCAGAAGAACTAAGTTTCAGAAGTACCTGTATTTACACCAGCTTCCCCCACCTAAGGTTCAATCACCAGAATTTTCAGGAAACAAAGTTCATTTATTCAACAAACATTTCATGAATACCTTTTTTGTTCTATTGCTGTGCTAGTGTTAGATAAAATGGTAAACAAGGAACTCACACAAACAAATCATGATAAAGGCTAAGATGAAAACCGTGATTGAGATTTAACCTATTTTGAATAAGGAGCCAAGGGACCGTGAACCTTCAAGGTTGAGATGGCACCACTATTTGCTGAGCTGGGATCTCAGTATGGGATAGAAGAACATTCGAAACAGAGGGAAGCATATGTTCAGTGACCCCCAAGAGGTGAGGATATTGC